ACGAGGCTCATATCTTCCAAGATAGTGGCAGTAGATTTCAGTTTTTATGGTCCAAACCAGTAGCCCTCATCTCCATCCTGCTCACATTTTCAAAGCCACAGGAAGAAACTGGGTCTCCCACGCTTAATAATTACAAAGAACCAAAGCAGCCAACCCGCCACAATATGTGGGAGAATTCCTGGGGGTGATGGGGTTTGTAATATGCAAGCTGGCGTCCTCTCCCCCAACATGAGACCTAAGACTTCTTGGTGGCATTTCCCCAGCACGAAACTCAAGCATATTTTGTGTGATGCTCTTCACTCAAGGTTTGGGGACAGCAGAAGAGAATGAAGCTCCAGGTTAGAAAGTAGTTTAAATTGGATACTAGGCATCATGTTCCAAAAGCTCATCCACCACAGAAAGTCTCTTCCTGATTGTCTCTCTCCTGTCACTGTGCTGCAGGGGCCAAGAGGCCATCTCTCAAGACTTCATCCCATTGTCATGGAGTCTAGAACTCTCAAGAATGCTTTTTCTTTACTCCACAAGGGGCAACTTTCGGTTCATGTTATTTTATCATCCGATGTCGTTTTAGCTTCTGCTTCACCTCATTCTCCAATAGCTCACACATCCAAAACCATCAATAGTAATTTTATGTCATGTGAATATCACCTCAATCAAAATACTATTATTAGTTTGTTTTGAAAAGAGTATACATAAACACACTCCTCACTCTGAGAACTAAGTACGTCTTCTTGAATGTTTGAAAATGGCTGCTTATTTTCCACAATAAATTATTTGAGTTATTTAACCTTTATAAGATGGGTACGGCGCCCCTGAGCTGGGTTTGCCTGGCCTCTTCCCTATAATTAGGGCCTGTCTTTCCTCTTACAGGTTATGGGGAAATATCCTCTCCTGCCCTTCTGTCTGTACCTTGTGGTTTCCGGTTGCACTTTCTCTCCTCTCAGCCATCCATCTGCTTGCGGCCCCTAAGAGGCAGGACAGAGTATGGTGATTAGGGAAGTGAGGATGTCAAGAGAAACCTCTGGACCCTCCAGCTTGAGAGATGCCCTAGCCTTGAGTATAATGAAGCCCAGGGGAGCTCAGGAGGAGAGCAGCGCTGGCGCTGCAGGTATCTCTGTCCCTCACCCCAGGGCACAAGTCACCAGAAGCACTTTACCTTCTCCTACATTGGGGATGCTGGACAGACTCACTGTCACCACACACATGGTCACTGGGCTCTAGTGGCAACACAGGAACAGGATGGAAGTACAAAGTATAATCCGCAAGGTCGGTGTCACCCCTCTGTTTCCCCCGGAACAATAACCACTCTCTGAGCACCAGAGGATCACTAATGGGCATCAGTGGGAGACAGGTGTTGAGAGGATTTGGTACAACATATAGCTATTCACTTACAGAGTCGCCGTGAGAGTTACAAGTGGGGCCGTTCTCCAAGAGAGGGCAACGGAAGTAGAGACTGGAATGGAATCACAGACGGAGCTGGCAGGGATCTCTTGTTAGTCATGGTTTGGAAGGGGCCCTGGAGCCAAATGGAGACGAACCACTCATTAGCTTCCCTCGGACAGGTGCTACCTTCTCCTCTCAGGGATCTGAGATGCATCACTACTTGGTGCTCATCTCCACTCCCTGTCTTGGTGTTCACCTTCACTCCTTGTTTTCATGTTCCCTTTCTGGAGCTGGGATGAAGATGGAGAGAACTTGGATGTCCAGGTCCTGAGGAGGCAAGACGTCTGAGGGGTAGAGGCCAGGGTGTGGACCAGGGGCAGGGGAAGTAAGTGTGGTCAGAAGACTCCTGAAGACTCTCCCAGTCCAGGGCAGTCTGAGCTCAGCATCTCTTGGCTGCCTGCACATCTCCCTGACACTCTTGCTGTCGTTGGAGGCTCAGGAAAGATCACCTGGGTCCTGGGAGGACAGGGAATGACGGGGAAGGAGCTACAGCCTAGAGATAGGAATACTGCCTCCTCTCTCCTCTTCCCATGAGGCCCTGCTTCCTGCCCCTGTGCTGCTGGTTTCCAGGGGGCTCCTGGGGCTCAGGGTGCTCATGGGAAGCCCCAGTGGGCCCACCTTCCTCCTCACCCATTGTCTTAGCTTGCTGGATGCCAGGTGAGCAGGCCTTGCTAAACCCAGGATAATCAATTTCTGGAATCTCATTTCTTCCTAACTTGAATCTTAGAACTCAGTCACTGAAATTCCATTTGGAGAGAGACCTGGGAGGACACAATGAGCTCCCCTCTGCCTTTTGGGTACGGTTGCCCAGGAGGGATGTCCTAGCCTCACTCTCATCCCACTCCAAACCTTCTCAGCTTCGTCTTCCTGCCCCATCCTGCTCCCCTCCTCAGACCCCTTCCCCATTCCGCCTGTACCTCCCTCCCATCACTCAGGGCTTACAACATCAAATCTCTCTTCTCCACACACAGAATCTGTGTATCACTGTCTCCAAGGGAACCTAAGACAAGGCATATTGGACCCTTGAAGTCCCCCAAGGACCATCCTTAAACGGGTCCCTTGTTCTCTCACAGTTATCCAGTCTCTACACAAGTCTTAGACATCAGGATTCAGGGCTGGGCGTTTGGTGGAGGAATACCCACAACTCTCTCCACTCTTGACTGAGGAAAAACAGTCAACTACTGCTCATCTTTTTCATGGTCCATACAAGTTTGCCTCTCTTTCCAGATGTTCTGAATCCCAACATGAGCTGAACCAAGGATGCAAATGCACTATTTTTGCCTTTTTATTGAAGTGGTTCCAAAGTCCACTAGTCTTAATTGTGGTGCAATAAATATATATATAGATAGACAGACAGACAGAAGGTGCAGATATAGAAATACAGATATATATTTTTGTGAAACTACCACCCATTTCAAGGTGTATACGTTAAATGTTTTCCATATTCTAGACAGTTTTTCCATGTGACACGAGCTATACTACGTCTCAGTCCATATGTTCTATGGTTAGAGAAACCAATATTCTCACATTTATCATCACTAATTAGTTATTTTGGTGCTAGGAATTTCAGTATATGGAATCCTGCAGCATGGGACTCTTTCGTACCTGTCTTCTTTTCCTCAACATTTTGTCTGTAAAATCTCACCATATTCTTGAGCGTGTCTGTGGCTGACTGTTGACTACAGTGTATTATTTCATCGTATGAATATACCACTGTTTCTTGAGCTCATTTGATGCCGATGGACATTTGTGTTAAGCCCAGCTTTTGGCTGTTGTGAATAAAGCTGTTAGAACCTTTTTGTACATGGCCTTTGATGGACATGTACACTCATTTCCCTTGGGAGGATGGATAGAAGTGGACTTGTTAGACCCTAGAGGATGTGGTTTTAGCACTAGTAGACACTGCCACAGAGTTTTACAGGCGACTGTACTCATTTGCATCCTCCCCAGCAGTTTGAGGAGCTCTGGTTCCTCTGCCTCCTCTCCAACACGTGGTAAGATCAGCCTTTCACCTTCAGCCATTCTGATGCATGCAGATCCATGGTTGTTTAACGGGTCTTGGGAACTCTGCAATCTTTATCAGGATTTTTGTTCTGTCCTCTCTCTTTTGGGGAGGCAACTCTTACGTGCTTTCAGCTTATTTTCTTGTATATTCCATGCCTTTTATCTACAACTTCATTTTGAGTCAATCATTCCTTTTCTATTTATTAAGAAAGACATATTTTAGAGGACCAAATGTGTGTTTCCAGCATAGCTAAATTCTCAGGAAGCAGATGGTAAAATAGAAATGATCTCATTACTCGTTTACGTTACTGATACTGATTTTGGATTCACGAAGGTAAATTCACAATAGTTTTTAACGTCTGGGAACTAAATTTCTGAATTGTGAGCCATTTGTCATTTTAATATTTAAAATTCATTTTAAGCCAGCGGTAGCTGTCTTATCTCATTAGTGGTGCCTTTCCAATTTTTTGATCATAAGTTTATTTTTCATGTGTCCTCTGAGATATAACAAACAGTACAAAAGAAGGCCTGAACCCTACATGTTCTATTTGAGGAATAATCATAAAGGGGACGCCCATGGAATTCCTACCCGGGTTGAGAAATAGAAGTTGGCAAGAAGCCCCCGAAGCCGACTTCGTGTCTCTCCTCACTCCAACGCTCCTCAATGACCTTGAATGTTTCTTTTTACTTTCTCATTTTGGCATTAACAGTGTATCACCAAACAGTACCGTTTGGTTTTGCTGTTTTTAAACTTTATATTAATGGAGTCTTACTGACGTATGATTCTGCTTCTTTCTCTCAAACTTCCAATAGACCTTGCTTTGTGTGGCAGTGTTTCTTTGTTTTGATTGTCATATAGTTGACAACTGTACCCCTACAACACCATGAACACTTTAGACCATTGACAGACATTTCTAATGTCTCCAGTGAGGTTAGCATACACAGCGCTGCTCTGAGGGTTCTGGACTATCTCTCGAGTGCACGTGGGTTAAGAGTTTCTCTAAACTGTCACCATCTGATAGAAGCATAATGTGAGCACCAAACATGAGCCATATGTGTCATAGAGAATTTTCTAAATGCCACATTAAAAAAATATTTTTAAAAAGATGAAGTTGAAGGGGGACGACCTCTCATGTTCTCCTGGGAGGGGATGGCTCTTCACTCGCTGAACCCCAAGACCCTCCGTTCCTCAGTACTCACCTTCACACCGAGGCTCCAAGACCATGGCACCAACCTCACCTGTTGGGTGAAACGCCAAGGAGCTCAGGTGGCCACGGAGAGAACCATCCAGCTCATCATCTCCTGTGAGTGCTGGAGGGATGGTTGGTCCCTGGGGGCGGATGAGGCTGTGTGTGTAGAGTAGAGGGAGAGAGTGAGGGTGAGCAAGCTTCGAACACGCAAGCATGGATCTGAGCCCTGGGAGTCCAGGTGGGGAGCGTGCAGGAAGAACAGCAACCTCCATCTTCTCCAGTTTCCACCACCCTCCTTGGGTGCAGGCTCAGCTTCCATCCCCCTCCTCACCTCTGAAACGGGGCTATGTCTTTCTATCCCAGATGCTCCACAGAACCTCACCATCCGTGTCCTCTCCGGAAATGTCACAGGTAGGAAAGAACCTCTCCTCTCCGGGGTTGTGACCTGCCCCTGGGGCCGACTCTGAACAGACAGGGTCTATCAGAGCTTGACTGAAATCAGATATGGGAAGAGCAAAGATAAAAATGACCACCTTCCGGGGGCTGGCCCCCTGGCGGAGTGGTTAATTTCGTGTGCTCCGCTGCATGCGGCCCAGTGTTTCTTTGGTTCGAATCCTGGGCGCGGACATGGCACTGCTCATCAAACCACACTAAGGCAGTGTCCCACATGCCACAACTAGAAGGACCCACAATGAAGAATATACAACTATGTACCGGGGGGCTTTGGGGAGAAAAAGGAAAAAATTTTTAAAAATTTAAAAAAAAATGACCACCTTCCCCTCCCCTACCTCCTGTGTGCCTGAGTGCATGCACAGGTACATGTGCATGCACACACACACTGCACACACTCTGTTCAAAGTGCATTTCGCCCCACATGGCACTGCCTCTGGTTCTCCTCCTACTCCTCCACCCCAGCATCCTCAGTCTTATTTCCTGCTGCATTCATGGAATCTGCTTCCTGAAGCCGTGGGACTCTCTGTTCTCTCCACCAAACAGTCCAGGCATGTCCCAGTGGACATTGAGCCTCCCCTGAAGAGATGAGGCCCAGACACTTTGGGTCAATGTCCTAGGGTGTAAAGACCCAGCCTTTGAATCCAGACCCAAGCCAACAGGCTAGGGGAAGAGAGGAAGATGCCAACCATATCCTGAAAGGAGGGAGGGTTGGAAACTGTCAGCCTCCCAGAGCTCACTGGCTCTTGAGTACACTCTCTCTTTCTTTCTCCAGAACTGAAACACCCAGGGAATGGCTCGTGTCTTCAGGTCCTGGAAGGGGCATCTTTGCTCCTGGACTGTGTCACTGAGAGCAACCCTGAGGCCACAGTGAGCTGGGCCAAGATGAATGGGACCCTGAGCCCCTCCCAGGCCAGGAAGTCCAAGATCCTGGAGCTGCCCTGGGTGGAGTTGGAGCATGAAGGCGAATTCATCTGCAGAGCTCAGAACCCACTGGGCTCCCAGCAGGTCTCTCTGACCCTCTGTGTGCACTGTGAGTTGGGCGGGAGGGGACTTGGGAGGCAGGACACCTGGGTCCTGGGGAGGGCAGAGGCATCACTGACCCTTATCCCGCCTCCCCACAGACCCCCCAAAGCTGCTGACACCCTCGTGCTCCTGGGAGGACCAGAGTCTGCGCTGCAACTGCTCATCTCGAGCCCACCCAGCTGCCTCCTTGGGCTGGCGGCTGGGGAAGAGGCTGGTGGTGGGAAACCACAGCAACGCCTCCTTCACAGTCACTTCCAGCTCGGTGGGACCCTGGGCCAACAGCTCCCTGAGCCTCAGCAGGGGGCTCAGCTCCGGCCTCAGGTTCAGCTGTGAGGCCATGAATATCCATGGGTCCCAGAACGTCACTGTCCTGCTGCTGCCAGGTCAGAGGCTGAAGTAGAAAGGAGTTATTATTCTAGAAGAGATGAAGCTTGGAGGCAGAGGGGCTGGGGCCTGGACAGAAAGTGATTGCTAGGACAGGTGCTCCATCTCTTGCCTGAACAAGACCCTAGAGCAAGTTCTGCAAGGAGGTGGGAAGACAAGAGACCGAGGCCTGGGAGTGTGTCCTCTAACACCCATCCTCTCTGCAGGCAATTTGGTATCCTCGGCAGGAATGGTTTCTGCAGCTCTTGGAGGTGCTGGTGCCATGGCCCTGCTGTCACTCTGTTTGTGCCTCACCTTCTTTTACATGTAAGCCTTTGTCCTGGGTCGGGGGGGTGGGGGTGGTAGGAAGTGTGGTGAGAAGTCACTGAATTGCAGAAATGCATAGCTGAGTAGAGTAGGTTTAGAGGCATCTTTTTTGGTGGTGGGTAACAGCTTTATTGAGATATAATTCCCATACATTTAAAATGTATAGTTCAGTAGCTTTTAGTATTTTCACAGAGTTGTACATCCATTGGCACCGTCAATTGTACAACTTCTTCATTAGCCCAAAATGAAAAAGAAACCAAAACAAGGAGGAACTCTGCACTCCTTCCTTGTCATCCTGCCCTCTTCCTCCCCCTAGCCCAAGCAGCCACCAATCTATTTTCTGTCTCTCTAGATTTGCCTATTCTGGACATTTCATGTACATGGAATCATATACTACATGGTCCTTTGTGGTTAACTTCTTTCGCTTAGTGTGATGATTTCAAGGTTCCTGCATGTTATGGCACATGTCAGTTCTTCATTCCTTTTCATTTCCAAACAATGCTCCATTGTATGGATTGGGCACATTTTATTTGTCCATTCGTCCACTGATGGATATTTGGGTTGTTTCTACTTTTTGGCTCTCATGAATAACACTGTTATGATCATTCATGTACAAGTTTTTGTATGTAACAAGGGTCTTTAGTGATGGAAACTCAGTCTTGGCCAAACCCCCGGTTATTCAGGAGGATGGAGTCCTCACTTGCATGTCAGGAAGGTCTCCAAGTCTGGTTCCAGGATCTGGATGCAGTGCAATGGTTTCTCCCCTTAGAGTGAAAACCTGCAGGAAGCAAGCAGCCGGGAAACGAGAGGGCACGGATGATGAAGATCCTGTCATGGGTACAGTTGCCTGGGTGAGTCATGTGGGCATCTTCTCATGCAGTGGAGGGCCCTGTGCATGTCCATTTGGTGAGTCCAGGCTGAGCTTCTTAGCATTTGTCCAAATCTGCTCTTCCCTAGTCACCTGGGCAGACACCTGGGAATTGACTTCCCTTCTGTTCTTCCCCTTCATCTCCCAGAGTGAATGGTCCCCTGGTCATCCTCTTCCTTCAACCCTGCTGACTACTGAGCCTACCTCACCTCTTTGCCAGATAAAGACTGCCAGAACAGTCTTCCAAATTCTATTTACTTTCCAGCCATTCTGGAATTTCAATGTTGTTTGCTGCCACTGCTTGGAGAATCAAGTCACATTCCTGGATCCGATATTTGAGGTCCTTCTTGAGATCTCCCCTCATGGCCACTTCAGCCTCTGGTTCTGCCCCATGGTCCAGCCACACTGACCTTGTCACTGTCTCTATACAATGACTTCTTTATGACTTGGAGCCTTTGCATGGACAATACCTCTCACCTGAAGTGCCCTCCCTTCTGCATTTACAGCAGACCACTTCATCTCATTCTTCTAGCTCCAATCAATATCAACATCTCCTACTCTGGGAAACCTTTGTCATTTCCTTCTCCGTCAATGTCCATCCATCCTGTTCTGTGTCCCCGAAGCCCCATGTGCATCCCTGTGCAGAGGGGCACGTCACACATCACTGTATTTACCTGTCTTCACCCTCTCATTGTCCTTGTGAAGGCCTTGGGGACAGAGGCTGGAATTTTGTCTCACTCTGTCCCTGTCCTGCATGTTCCCCCTCCCCTTATATAAAGTTGGGCTGTGTTAGATGGAATTATTCAAAATGCTTTGTTCATCACCAAGCCTTTATCAGTGGAGCAAGGCTTGTTCTCTTTGACTTACTCGTTTTTATTCATAATGTGATAAGCAGCTGTGAACCCACCATCCAACTCAAGACCTCAAACGCTGATAACTTACATCTGCCCATATTGATCTCTGACCCAGCCCCAGTAACCACTGCTCTGAGTCTTTTGTTCGTAGTGTTATCACATATATCTGTATCTGAAATATACCCTATTTAGTTTAACTGCTTCTGAACCTACAAAGGGGGTCACGCTCCAGGCCCTCTTCTTGGACTTGCTTTGTAGACTCAGCATTATGTTGTGAAGATTCCTCCATGTTGTTGCACAAAGTTGCAGTTCCCATTGTATAATATGTCATTTTATGATTATTATCTAAGCTTGAACTGGTGGACATTTGAGTTCTATCCAGATGCTACTGTTACAAACATTCTTATTCATCTCACTGTATTCAAGTGTAAGAGTTTTTCTTTAGCATTACTTAAGCGTCTATTATTAGGTCATAGCGTATGTGAATGTTCATATTTACAAGATCGTGACAAATGGTTTTCCAAAGCAGTTCCATCCATTTATACTCTTATCTGTGCCTATAAGATTCTGTTGATCGACAATCTCTCCAGCTCCTGGTTTTCCCAACTTTTTTGTCATCTCACTATCTCATTATGGTGCTGATTTTCATTTCCTTGGTTGCCGATGAGGATGAGAATCTCTCTGCGTCTTCACTGGCATATGAACACCTCCTCTCTAATATACCTGGTCACATTTGTAGCCCATTTTTTCTGTTGGGTGTTTGACCTTTTCTTATTAAATTTGTTGGAGAGCTTTATATATTTTTATACTACTTTTTTGGTTATACGTATTGCAAATATCTTCTCCCAGTGAGTAACTTGTCTTAAGTTCTTTACTGTAATATAAACATATTCAACAATCTTCTCTTTTTGATTGAGTGCCTTTTGGGTCTCATTTAAGAAAGTCTTTCCTGGGGTTGGCCTGGTGGCACAGCAGTTAAGTGCACACGTTCCGCTTCCGGCCCGGGGTTCGCCAGTTCGGATCCTGGGTGCGGACATGACACTGCTTGTCAAGCCATCCTGTGGTTGGCGTCCCACATATAAAGTAGAGGAAGATGGGCACAGATGTTAGCTCAGGGCCGGTCTTCCTCAGCAAAAAGAGAAGGATTGGCAGCAGTTAGCTCAGGGCTAATCCTGCCCCCCCCCCCAAAAAGAAAATCTTCCCCATCCTAAACTTCAGACATTCAAGTATAGTTCCTACTAAAAGTTTTGTTTTCTTTTTGACATTTGAAGTCTTAATCTAACTGGAGTTGATTTTTGTGTGTGGTGTGCAGTATTGATCTATGTATTTTCCTCCTTCATTTGTAGAATATTCTCTCCCTCCCTCCCTCACTAATCTGCCATGCCACTTCTGTCGTATATCAAAATTCTATACATGTGTAAGTCTCTTTCTGTGGTGTCTATTCTGTTCCAACCGTCAATTTCACTGCCTCTGAGTCAGAACTGTCTATAGAGTCAACAGAATCTATAGACTCAAAAATAAGTCCTAATGTCTGACATAACAAGGTCTCTTCCTTAATCTTCTTCAATAATGTCTTGACTATTCTTGAGTCTTTGTTCTTCTATTTAAATGCTAGAATTAGTTTGTCAAGTTCCCCAAAATATTCTTCTTGCTGTTTTGACTGGAATTACATTGAATCTATAGATCAGTTAGGGAAGAATTTACTTGTTTACGAATTCAAATTTTCTTATCCTCGAAAGCAGATATCTCTCTATTGGTTTAAATCTTTTCTAATATTTTCAAAAAAGAAGTAGAATTCCTTCACACAGGTCTTACACATATTTTGCTATTTTTTCTTTCTAAATACTAGTTTTTGTTACTGTTATAAAATGCTATCATTTTAAAAGTGCATTTGCTGATTGCTCATTGCTGGTATGCAGAATGAAAATATCTTTTGAAAATACGTGAGGTTGTTTTTTGCAATTCAAAAAACCACAGACTGGTCTTGGGTGTCATTTCCATCAAGAATCAGCTTGTCCTTTTGGGCTTTAGGTCCTGAACAAGAAGCACCTGGTCCCGTGCATTTTCTGCAGATCTTCTTCTAAGGGGTTTCAGATTTCTACAAAAGATTCATTCTGCAGAATAAATGATGGGGAAGTGAACACACTCAGACTACCCCATCCGGCAATAGAAGTTCTTGTAACACCTCAGATTGTGGGCAGTATGTGACTACAGATTGTTTGAACAGTAGCCACTTTCCTCATTTCCTCACTATTTGTCCACACACAGCTTCTCCTTTTACTTTCCTTTTTACTTTCCTCAACTTCCTGAAGGAGTTGAGGCCCTCTCCTGGGTTCCTCCAGCCTCTTCACTATAAATGTTCATCTCTGTGTAGTGACACCCACATCTTCTGGGGCATCAGCAGTCTCAGTGCTGAGAATTCTCTTCATTCTCTCAGTAGACGCAGGAATGAGTGACGCACAATGACATATTTAATTGATCTTATATTCTTCCAACTTGTTAACCTCTCCTGTTCATTCTAATAATTTGTATACAGACATTGAAGTATTTTTATAGACTTTTTTAATTAAAAAAATATCACAAATTGGTCTTGAGTGCCACTTAGAATCTTTTGGGATTTCAAATTAGTTGATCATATCTTCTTCAAAACACAGTTTATTTCTTCACTTTGATCCTAAACACTTCCTTCCTTTTTCCTGTCTTCATATCCTGGCTAATCCTCCAAAGTCAAATAGAGGTGGTGAAGCTGAGCATCCATTATTACTCCTGTTTTTGAAGAAAATGCACCCAATATCTTGCCATTTAAGTTGGTTTTTGGTCGTAGGATTTTTTTTTAATAGGTAACCATTATCAGGGTAAGGAAGTTCCTTCCGATCACTAAACGATTTAAGTTTTTATCATAAATTTCTGTTGAGCTTTTCAAATGCATCTACTGATATGATTTTCCCCTCCTCTCTTACCATTGTGAATGACACTTCATGGTTTTCTAATAGAAACTACTCTAGCATTCCTGAGAAAGAACCAAATTGTTCATTATACATATATATGTGTGTGTGTGTGTGTATACGTATATATATATATTTTTTTTAGTACCCTAGTAAATTCAGTCTGCTATCCTTTGGTTTAGTGTGTTTGCATCTATGTGCATGGGCAAAATGGGCCTTCATTTTCCTTTCTCCTCCTGTCATATGCTTGTTAGAGTATCAAGATAATATTGAAGAATTGGAGAATATTCCTGCATTTTCTATTATCTGGAAGAGAGTGTATAAAATTGGAATGACCTGTTTCTTGAATAATTAATAGGCGTCACTAGTAAAACCACCTAGACATGCTCTTGTTTCTATGTGCAATTTTTCTGATTCAGTCATTTTACATGTTCTTCCGTGAGCTTTTTTTTTAGGAATTTGTTCATTTCACCTAAGTTTTATCATTTTTTGATGAAAGGTTATGGGTAGTACTCTTTTAATTTTATTCTGTTGGGTTTAATTGGGATTACTTCCCCTTTTACATTCCTGACCAGTCTTTTGTGACTTCTCTCTTTTTTCCCTAGACAAATCTTGTCAATTGTTTGCCTATTTTGTTATTAGTTTCAAGAAACCAACTTTTAGGATTGTTAATTTTATCGCTGTATCTTGGTTTTCTATTTTATTTATTTTGACTCTCATTTTCTTAGTACCTTCCTTCTGCTTGCTTTGGCTTTTTCTGGTGTTCTTTTGCTAACCTTTTACACCAGGAACTTAGCTTATTAATGTATAACACTCTTCCTTCATTATAAAAGCATTTACGGGTAAATTTCTTTCAAAACATCGCTTTAACAACACCCATCATTAAAATTTGTTGACTTGATCTGTGGCCTGGTGTGTAATGAATTTTTGTGTGTATTTCCCGTGTGCTTAAGAAGAAGGTATGTTTTCTGTTTCTTAGATTCTATATCAATGGATCAGTTGGCCAGTGTGTTAATCGTATTGTTCAAATCCAAAGCTTTACAAATAGGTCTTCACGGCCTATCAATAATTGATAGAGGGATGTTGAAATCCCACATTAGGATAATACATTTGTCAATTTTTTCCTGCAGTTCTACCAAATATGTTTCTTATAGTGGATGTACTTTGAAATTACAACCATATATTTTAGGAGTCTTGCATCCTCTTAGTGAATTGAACAAAACACACGTAGTAATTCTCTCTACTCTTCTTGATACTTTTTGCTGCAAAGTCTATTTGGTTGGATCTTAACAGAGATACACCAATTTCTCATTGGTCAGTAAGGCACCTGATATTTTTCCACCCTTTGTCCCCCAATACTTTATTTATGCTTTAGCAATGATTTTTGTAAACAATATATAATTAGTTTTTTTAAAATCCAATTTGACATCCTCCGTTGAGTCCACTCTATCTGTGTTTATTGTGGTTATTGATATATGTGGATTTCTTTCTACTATTTTACCTTCTCCTTTCACTTGGATCCATTTTTTTCAATATTTTATTTTCTCCTTTCTTACTTAAAAAATTTATACCTCTGTATTACAGCTAACAAAAGAACTTGAGCATGCTTCTGTATCTGTTGGTCTCTCCTCCTTCCACCTTCCACAATTTTGGTTCCATTTCTAGATCTCCAGTTTTCATTCTCGGTGATTATGAACATATTTAACATTTTTCTATTCGTTGGTCTTTTTTTTTAATACACAGGTACACATTTTACTGAAGTATTTTGTCACCTTTATATCTCATATTTATTGCAGTGTTTCTTGCTTTTGTTATCTTTATTTGAATTCTTTTTGTTTGAATTCTCCCTCCCACTGTGTTTTCAATTGGGTTTTGCTGTGTTAAGATGTCTGAAGACTTGCGTGTCTGAAGATATTTTTTATCCTCCTACATTTGAATTTCATTTGGCAGGATATAAATTCTAAGATCATGGTGATTTTCCTTCAAAGCTTTAAACATTTTACTCCACTGCTTCTTGTACCCAGCATGACTGTTAAGAAATCTCATGTCTGTCTGAATCTTGCACATTTATAGGCAATCCACTCATTTTCCCTGGAAACTTTTACACTTTCTCTTTGGTTTTGATTTTCTTAAGGTTCATTATAGGGGCTGGCCCCATGGCATAGTGGTTAAGTTTACGGGCACAGCTTCAGCAGCCTGGGGTTCACTGGTTTGGATCCTGGGTGCAAACCTACACGCTGCTCATCAAGCCATGCTGTGGTGGCGTCCCACATAGAAGAACTGGAATGACTTACAACCAGGATATGCTGGGGTTTTGGGGAGAAAGAAAAAAGAGGAAGATTGGCAACAGATGTTAGCTCAGAGCCAATCTTCCTTGACAAAAACAAAAAAGAGAGAGAGATTCACTATAGTGTGTTAGGGTGTGGGGTTTCCCTTGTCTCTTTTCTTGAATTTGTGGGCCCCTTTCAGCTGAGGTGGTTCATCTTTCTTTAATTCTGATAGTTTTATCACCACTATTTACATTCAAATATTTCTCCTCTTTTTATTTCCTATTTTTCACATTTGGGGACTATTATAGTTTGAATTGAGATTTTTCTCTTTCTATCCTCCATCTACCTTAACCTTTCTTTCATATGTTCTATTCTGCATCCTTCCCCATTCTACGGGAGGCTTCAAACTGCCCTTCCAGCTCATGAACTTGCCTCCCATTGTATTCATTCTGTTCTTCATCCCATCTGTCAGGTTCATCCTATTATATTTTTCAAACATAATATTTCCACTTTTTACATAGTTATGTACATAGTTCCTTTTTAATAATTTACATAATTTCTTGTTTTACACACATAGTTTCTGATGTACATAATTTCTTAATCTTTTTTTTTTTTTTTTTGGTGAGGAAGATTCACCCTGAGCTAACATCTGTTGCCAGTCTTCCTCTATTTTGTATGTGGATTATTTCCACAGCATGGCTGATGAGTGGTGCAGATCCTCACCCAGGATCTGAACCCATGAACCCCAGCCACTGAAGCAGAGCATGCTGAACTTAACCACTACGCCGCAGGGCTGGCCTCCATAATTTCTTACTCTTTCTTGCATGCTGGTAATAGCATTGCTTACCTCTTTTAGTGCATTTAGTATGTTTAGTTTAAATTCTTGATTAAAGTGTTCTGATGCTTGTGCTTTGGAGGTTCCATCAGCTTGTTTTTCTTCTGGGACATTTACACTCCACAGGTGTCCAGTCTTCTGACCTGTGAGCTCGTATTCCCCTGGGATTTTAGCTACTCTGTCTTACAGTGTCGATTGGGTGAGGGCAAAGGGCAGATGCTGTCTGCGTCAGCTCAAAGGAGAGAAGGGGACAAGCCCTGGGGTGGAGCACTCCCAGGCACCAACCACAACTGATCGTTCCCACTTCCCATCTCCCCAAGAAAGCAGCTCAGGCCACCCTTTTGCCTTCAGACCCTCAGGGAGAAGTAGCATTGAGCCAGGACTCCTCTTGGATTTTGATCCACCAGACTCAGGAGTTTGGAAAGGAGAGAATGGACAAAAGAATCCCAAAGGCCGGCAAAGCTCCATCTCTGCTTTCTTCACCCCAGTGGGCCTTTGGTACTTGTCCAAGGAAACCTGCCTGTCACTGCCCTGTCCGTGTTCTGAATTCTGCAACAAGAGGATAGGCAGTGATTGTCCCAGGGCAAGGGTGGAGGAGAGAAAGGAGTAGAACTCAAGCATATTTGAGGTGGCTTATCCTCTCGTCAACAAGCCAGTCTCCCTGGCCGTGGGATGCAGCGCCCCACCGTCCCAACTCCATTCCTTCAAATTAGCCTTTACTTTCCTCTCTGGATTTCAATGTGATGATCGATCAGTCGATCGACTGATTGATTTATGAAATTTTGTCATCCCGTAGCTCTGTAGTTCCTCCAATGTTGGATCTTAGGAAATAGAGCCAGTAGTGTGGATGAATTCACTATCTTGACAGGCACTACGGGAGAGAGAACTTTGTTTTTCCCGTTATTTTATTATCTACCTTTCTGGGCACTTTCATAGTGTAGGCAGAATAGTAAAGTGATGAACTTTAGTTCAATTTCCTGCGTTCAAGTCCTGGAATTACCCATTTCCAAAGTGTGTGACTTTGGGACAAATGAATTAACCTCTCTGTGTCTTTGCTTTCTCTTCTGAAAATGAATCCATTGAGATGTCAGGACCCGTCTCACTGAGTTGTTACAAGAACTGCTTAGAAGAGCGCGTGGGGACAACCCTTACATGTATTGCCTAATATTGCTATTCCCTCTCTAACAAGGAACTGCATGAAGGCAGTTATCTTGAACTGTTTCAGTCCCTCTTACACTCCCATTTGCAAGAATGGCACCTAACTCATAGCAAGCACTCAGCAAAGAGATGTTGAGTGAAAGAATGAACACATCCCTCTCTCCTGTTCATTAATCTAAGCTGTGTCTTGCCTTATGAGTCTCAATTTAATCTTTTTTTCATAGAAGATAAGGCTATTAATGGACACATGTCCTTATTTCCCCCTCTTTGGCTGCAGTAGGGTCAATGAACATAGCTGCTTTGTCATTTCATCTCATCTTGCTCACACCTAATACGGGTAGCTCCCTCCAGATAGTCTATTTTTTTCTGACATCATGAAACCACTTTTCCCTAATCTCCAATCCTTTTTCTCCCTTTTCTGAGCTAGTATTTGAAGGATAATGTTGCCTTCAACACATTTTTGTATAGTGTGGTGGTGTAGAGGTTTGGGCAGATGTGGGAGAGGAAAGGGAATTGTTCACCAGTGTCTGGGTACCATCTTTACTGGGGACATGAGTTCTGCTCTATTTTTGTTTTCATTTTATGGAACTTGGGTCCAGGATCCATAAGTGCCATCTCTTTTCTGGTTTCTGCATAAAATATCTCATCACACACACCAAAGTTAGAAGTTTGCTTTGTCTATAATCTTGGTCCTTGTCTATCATCTGGTCCTCCTAGCAGACTGTAAGCTGCCTGAGGGCAGGGTCTTTGTCTGCGTTCTCACACTGTCCATCTGGCCCCTCACCCAGGACCCGGCACAGGGGACATGGCAGGCCTGGGTTTGATTCCTGGCTCTGTCATTTACTAGATGAGTGACCTTGGGCAAGTTACTTAACCTCTCCCTATCTCAGTTTCCTTATCTTTAAATGGGGATAATAAGAATATAATTCATACTGGGATTTGATGAGGATTAAATGCAATTAGTAAGCCCTTGATATGGCCTAATCAATTGTAGTATCACAAAATTTTAGATGAATGAACAAATAGTTGAGTTCATAAGAAATGTGTATGGAATAAAAGGATGAATGAGTAAATTTATCATCAGCCCAACTTCCCCTTGGGGGCCATGCCCACCTTTGTTCCTTCTCTGACTCCCTTCTCTCCCCTTTCCTCAGGGTTCCAGGCAAAAGCCCCAGCCAGAGAGCCCCCCAGAGCAAGTGTCCCCTGCCGAAGATGCCCCTCCCTCAGAGGAGCAACAGGAACTTCATTATGCCTCTCTCAGCTTTCACCAGATGAAGTTTCAGGAGCCTCAGGACCAGGAGGCCACCAGCACCAACGAGTACTCTGAGATCGGGGCAAGCAAATGAGGACTTTCCCGGAGCTCAGTCCTGGCAGAGGGAGCACAGCCTCTGAGGCAGAAAGAGGAAGTCAATGACTAAGGGAAGCCTGAGGAGCTGTTGCAGCAATATTAACATTAACTACGATATGAGCATCCCCTGGTAGAGCAGAAAAAAGACAGGTGATAGGATTAGAGACTTGGGCTCAAATGCAGGCTCCAGCACTTCCTAACGCATTGGTCTCAAGCAACTCACTTCATCTCTGGGTGCCTCAGTTTACCGTTCTGTAAATCAGAAATCGTGCATTCCTACCTCAAAGGTGGTTGTGAGCATTAAAGAAATTGGCACATGGAAATCAACCCACAGAGGTCCCGGCTTAGGGCATGTGCTCAGTGCCTGCTGGTCTCTCTTCCTTCTACAAAAAGGTCCTGTTGGCAAGTTCTCCTGAGGCTGAAGTGACCAGGCACAGGGGACAGAGAAGCAACTGGTCAATGTTATTTTCCTTCCCAGAATGCTTCAAAGCCTCCCCAGGGAATGACTGGCTCCTCAACCTGGCATTTGGTTCATGATACAGCATCTTATAATCTCTCTGTGGTCATCTCCTTCCTCTACTTGTACTTGTCAGTTTTTCCCACTCATTCCTCCACCTCCTGATCTCCAGTCCCTTCACCATCTCATTTGTGGGCTCCAAAGTGATCTTTCCAACAGCTGGAGAGCTAACTCTCTCTCCTGCACAAACCCATTCATGACTCCCTGGCCTTGGACAGTACATCACAAGCAACTGCTCCTGGCACTTCAAATCCTTCATAACCTCACTGCTATCTACTGATCCATCCTCTCCTCTTGGCCATTCTTTTTTTTTTTTTTTTTTTTGAGGAAGATTAGCTCTGAGCTAACATCTGCCACCAATCCTCCTCTTTTTGCTGAGGAAGACTGGCCCTGAGCTAACACCCGTGCCTATCTTCCTCTACTTTATATGTGGGATGCCTGCCGCAGCATGGCTTGCCAAGCGGTGCCATATCCACACGCGGGATCCGAACTGATGAACCCTGGGCTGCCGGGCTACCAAAGCAGAACATGCGAACTTAACCGCTGTGTCACCCGGCCAGCCCCATTGGCCATTCTTCTTTAACCCTTCCATGCTGGTTCATACCCATGTCTTTACAATTTGAGATCCCTCTCTTGGAGGCCATGCTGCCTTGCTTTCATCTGGCTTACACCATGTTGTCCTTCAAACTTGAGTTCATGGGCAGATTTGGATTGAGAAGGTGGATTGGACAAAGAGCTCATAGTCTCCCTCCTTTAAAGTTGAACAAATTTAATTTATTTTGAAGAAAGCACTAAAACAAACACAGCCCCAAATTCACCAGCAGCATGTAGTGTAAGTGCTAACCATAAGCTTTCTTGACCGTAAGTTTTAATTGTCATCAAGCTTTTGATTGCTGAGCCATCCATTTTGAAGACGTGCATCTCAGATAAAAGTATTGCAAGCTGTACAACTAGAGAAAGAGCCAGGCGGCCCCGTTTGTGAACCTTCCTTTTTAGGAAGCCATAGGTGAATTACATAACTGACCTCTTGAGTTACCCTGCTTTTCCCTTCCTGCCCTTTAATTTCTGCTCTTATGTTTTAAATTTGCCAGTAGTGAACCTGCAAAACCATAGACACCCCAGCCTCAACCCGAGTAAAGGCAGAACCCCAGGTCCTTACTGTCTCTGGCTCTCTATACCCGCGATCTCGCTGAATGGCCCTCGGGGTGCTGTGTCTCCTCCAGGACTTTTGAGTAATAAAAGTTGATTTTTCAAAGTTTCCTGATGGTTGCTGCTGAAGCGTGTTCTGCAATCATAAAAACAACCACAAGGGCTGGTCCAGCCACAACCTTGGCTCCAGTCAGGGAAATGTTTTTGGGGCTCATCTCAAATAAAACAGGCCCAGGTGAGTGCCCCCAGCAACACAAAACAAGCACCCAAACCTGGATCAATTATTTGCTAAACTTTAGAAAGTGGCCACGAGGAAAGAAGTGGACAGTTCCAGCATGGAACCAGGAGGACATTGATTCCCGACATCCACTACCCAAACCCCATTTTCAGCACCATAAGGAGTTGAGTTGTGACTCTGGTTTCAGTAATGACAGGTTAGATTATTCTGATCAAGCCTCCTGCTGAAAATAACAAAATCCTTTGGAAAAGATGAAAAGGAAAAAAAAAATCCCTTACTTTAAAAGTATAGAATACCTGAAAAGAAAATGGGAACTTACCAGGCCAGAATTTGGGGACAAGTTTGAACCCAGAGAATAAGGCAGGATATCTAAGCCAAATACCAAAATTCCCAGTGGCATTTGCCCATACTCAACATGTGAGTTTTGGTTGGGTGGCCTTGCAAGTCCTGGAAATGGAAGTCAAGACACTGGCTCTGCCTAAGGTGGGAAGTTTCCTAGGAGATTACTTCCACACTGAGTTTGTATCGAAACTGGTGGCCAGATAGCCATTAATGATTAGATAGCTAGTGTAGGGAAGGAAGAACTATTCCTTTACCCTCTAGGTCCTTCTGGCTGGTCTAATAATTAAATTGACATGAGACAGAATAATAGGAGAAAATCCAACAAAGTGTAATAACATGTATACATGGGAGAAACCCAGGAAAACTGAGTAACTCGCCAGAATGGCCAAAGCCACCTTAAATACCATCTTCAGCTGGAGACAAAGGAGGATGTTGGGGGCAGTGGTTTGGGACTTCAAAGGGGAGGAAGGCAATTCACATGGAGATGGAAAAGCAAATTTGTGGTAAGCAAATGTTGACCATGCCTTTCAAAGACCATGAGAGATGAAAGGGACTTTGTTAGGTTCGTCCTTGTCTATCACACCTAGTTTATATTAAACTGTAGTTATCTTGTGGTATTAGTTCCTTCCTGGAACTGGCTTTCTATCTCAAACTCTTTTAGGTCGTTAGAGGGAAGGTCAAAGTTTCTTTCAGAGTCTTTTGTCCTTAAAAATAAGCCAAAGAGACACTATTTATTATTATTATTATTATTATTGGCGCCTGAGCTAACATCTGTTGCCAATCTTCCTTTTTTTCCTTCCTCTTCTCCCTGAAGCCTCCTCAGTACAAAGTTCTATACTCTGGTTGTGGGTCCTTCTGGTTGTGCTACATGGGACAACACCTCAGCACGGCCTGATGAGTGGTGCCACGTCCATGCCCAGGATCCAAACTGATGAAACCCTGGGCCGCCAAAGCCAAGTGCGGGAACTTAACCGCTCAGCCATGGGGCCAGCCCCACAGACACATTTTGTAGTGGCCAATTCTGATTAGTAACTAAAGTTTTTTCTGCAGGCAATTATCAATTGAGGCTTTCGTCATTTCCCCCCACAGCCCATTCTTAGTTGTGCTGCTTGTTCTTAAAAGTCATGTAGATAAGCAATATATTATCAGACTCCCATAGTTTCCTGATAGATAACATGTCTGATGTTCGGGTCACCATGATCACGGTGCTTAAGCTGTTCTTCAGGAACTGAGAGTCGACTTCTTGTTCAGTTTAAGTTGGTTGAGACCAGCGACCCATCAACTGGGCTTGCGTGAATGTCCAATAAGTGACCTTTTGACATCGGGGGGGGGCCGAAAACTCCACCCTCAGATCATGCAAAGACTGCCATTTTGTGAACATGCATCTTATGAATCTTGACTATGTTTGCACAGATTATTGAATACCTCACTTTTCCAGCCCTCCAATCATCTGCCCCCATACTTTAGGCCACCTTGCCCCTTTATCCCATAAATATCCCTAATCCCCATTTTTGGGGAGTCGGATTTGAGAATTGTTGTCCCATCTCCTCACTGGCTGCCTTGTGAATAAACCCTTTCTCTTCTGCAAAACTCATCATCTCAGTGATTGGCTTACTGTGTGGTGGGCAAAACAGGCCCGGTTTGGTAACAGTATCAGTGTAACAGTGAGTCAAAGAAAACCAAAAGAACCCAAACCAGAGGAAAAAGACAGATCATCTTCAAAAGAGGAGCAGTTTAATTGACTGAATTCTCAGTAGCAACCATGGAGAGCAGAAGAAAGCAAATACTATCTTTAAATATCACTTTATATAATCTATACTTGGTAGAAAGCATTAAAAAATGAGGAAGCAATACAAATCTTTTAGAACAAATAAATGGTGGAGTTCATTACCTATAGAATAAAAATAAAAGATAGTTTTAAAATTCCTGACAATAGGGGCCAGCACAGTGGCACAGCGGTTAAGTGCCCACGTTCTGCTTTGGTGACCCGGGGTTCACCAGTTCGGATCCTGGGTGTGGACATGGCACTGCTTGGCACGCCATGCTGTGGTAGGTGTCCCACATATAAAGTGGAGGAAGATGGGCACGGATATTAGCTCAGGGCCAGTCTTCCTCAGCAAAAGGAGGAGGATTCGCAGCAGTTAGCTCAGGGCTAATCTTCCTCAAAAAAATAAATAAACAAATAAAATAAAACTCCTGACAATAATAACAGCTAAGTCCCAAGTGTGTGGGGGAAGACAAGTGTATTTTACATTTCTTAACATCAACATACTATCTAGGAAGAGAGAGAAGTTTTCACTTACTAAAATCTTTGATAAGTTAATTATATGTGCAGTAATTTTTATGGCAATGACTACAAGAATAGAGTTAGAATGTATAACGTATAAACTAGAAGTCATTAAAAGTGTACTGTAAAAAAAACTTAGTAAATCAAAAGAAGACAAAAATGGAGAGATAAATTAATGTGGAATTGGTGGCACATATAGAAAATAAAATATAATGTGGGTTACTTACATTGAATATAATGGGATAAATGCTTCAATTAAAAACAGAGAGCTGGCTTGGAATAATATTCCATCCATATGCACCTTATAATATATGCATCTAAATTGTAAGGATAGAGATGGACAAAAGGAGACGAAATTAAGGTGACAAAATTATATACTATGCCAACATTAATGAAAAGAAAGCTGGCATGGTTCTATTAAGGTCATCCAAAATATATGTAACTACATTATTCCATTTGCGTGAAGTTCTAAAGCAAACATGTTGTGTAAGAATAGACACGCAGGTGTTATGCTTATAGGCAAAGGTAGGGGAAAAAAGATGGCCCGGAATGTTAATACAGTGGTAACCATGAGAGGCTTGGACAGGATGGAAAACAGAGGGAGACTCTGAGATTCCTGGGGAGCCTTCAAGTTCTAGTTCTTGACCTGAGAGATGACCACACAGTGTAAACTATAAATATATATTTATATAATATAAGCTATATATCATGTATTTATAATATATTATATATTTATAACTATATTTGTATTATAGAAATATAATATATATTATACATTAATTATATTTAAACATATTATATATTTATATAATATAAACTATAAATATCTATAGTTTACACAATGTCAACTATAAAGATATTTTTATAACCAATATACGTAAATATATTTCAAGCTAGGAAGTGTCTTACGTTCTGATGGCCACCTTTGTGGAAAAATTTCAAGAAAGAATAATGTTATTAAGAGGTGATGATCAAAAGGTAATAAAAACTCAGCCTTCTGGCCAAAAATCTTGATGGATTTGACAATACCAACGTTGAAAATATTGTGGTAAAGGACACTTCAGACAAAGTTAATAGATGGCAGACTAGAAGGAGGTATATCTTCAAGGTATCAGACCAAGGAGAGGTTATTGGGTTATGAGGAAGCAGGGGAGGGGCATGGCAGTTGGAAGGACCGTCTGAGTAAAGGCCAGGGGCCTGCCTTGTCCTGAACTTGGGAGGGAGGTATGGCTAGGGTTGAGCAAATGCTGCAGGGAAGTTAGTCCTGGCAGAAGTGGGGCAGTTCAGGTCCCCCAAAGCCCCTCCCCAGCCTCACAACAGCCCTAAAAGCTCCTGAAGGCAATGGCGT